GAGTGGTTAGGGGCAATCAGGCAGAGGCAGGTGAGCAGTTGAGAATCCGCAGTACTGGATTGTGAGAGGGATGTCCAACTGCCTGTGTAGATCCCAGGATCGGGCCTAAACAGAATGTCGGACATCCCTTAAGGGGTCCCAGATTGGAGAGAGTGCAGGCTGGGCTGAGGAACACCTCCTCCTCCACCCTGCACACAAATTTCATGCACCAGGCCTCTCATAATTCCTGTTCTACCTCACATCATCAGAACTCTTCCCCTAACACTCATGTTGCTTTTATACATGTTAACACTTTCAGTGAAACTGCTGTAATCAAGGTCACCAAAAACCCAAGTTACCAAATCCAACAGACTCTTCTGTACCTTCATTTTAATAGACATTTCAAAATTAGTGAAATTCTCAGCTAGCTTCTTTCTTGAATTACTTATCTCTGTTGGATTTTATGAAATCAGACTCTCAAATAAAAGTTGTCTGACCACTTCTAAAAAAAAAATTTTTTTTAGGAGTGTCTCACCTATTTCAAATCTTTTAAATTTAGTAAAATATAAATGTTGGCATGCTAGGCCCAGGTCCTCTGCTCTCCTCTATTATACCCTTTGCTTTTTAAAGTACTATGAATTAGTAGAATAATGACCCCCAAGATGCCCATGTCTTAATCCTCCAAACCTGTAAATATGTTACCTTAAATGATAAGCATGATGTTACAGAGGTGATTATGATTAAGGACCTGAGATGGATATTTGCCTGGATTTTCTAGGTGGGCCCAATATAATCACACAAGTTCTTAAAAGTTGAAAATCTTTCCCACAGAGAAATGACAGCATGTGAAGAACTCAACTTGTAGTTTCTGGCTTTGAAGATGAAGGAAGGAGCCACAGGCCAAGGAATATAATTGGCCTCTAGAAACAGAAAGAAAATTATCCCTCTCTCTTCCTCTCTGTAAAAACTCAATAAAATATATATTTAAAAAAAGAAAAAGAAAGAAAATTAGGTCTAAGCTTCTCCAACAGGAACATAGCCTTGCCAACATGTTGATCTTGGCCCATTTCAGATTTATAAGAAACAAATCTGTAGGATAATAAATATTTGTTGTTTTAAGCCACTAAGTTTATAGTAACTTATTATGACAGGAACAAAACTATTTTTAAAAAGCACACAATTTTAAATACTATCTATGAAGGTTGATGACTCCAAAATGTATACCCTTTGCTATAACTGATTCTGTAGCTTCTGATTCAACTGTCTTTATACAGTTTCTCTTGGATGTCTATGTGAGAGTCTCCTAATTGCCTCCCAATTCCATTCTCCCTTTCTTACTTAGTAACAGAATCCTTGATCTACAGCTGAATGCACAGGCAGCTGGAATAAAGTTTCTTCCCCTTCCCTTACAGCTTGAGTGACCATGTATCCAACTTTGGTGCACATGAATATGCAAAACTGTCTGTCATGTGTGACACTGGAGGGAACTGGGGGAAACATCATCTTTCTCCTTTATGCTGGCTGGGATATGAACAAGATAGCTTGAGGTCAAGAATCCATCTAACACCACAAAGTTTCACAATAAGGATAGCAGAGTAACTAAATAGAAAGAGCCTACGTTTCTGATGATCATGTAAGTCTCATATCAGCTCTGGACCTGCAGACTTCATTTAGAAAGGAAAAATGTTCTCTGTTGTTTAATACTCTATTATCCTGGAATTTTTGATACATGCAGCTAAACTTAATTCTAACTAAAATAATAAAATTAGACTACCCATGACAGAGTATTGATTTTGCTCCCTAAAACCCAACTGTTCAGTCTTTCTCCATTTCTATGAATTACATTATGATTTGCCCAATTGTTCAATCCAAAAACCTAAAAGTGATTCTTGATCTTAGATTCCTTTCTTTATTCCCTCACCAATCAACTTTCCACTCCTATTACCCCACTCCCAATAAACCAGCAAGTCTTGGTACTTTTATTTCTAAAATACATCTATGAACTTCTCTCCATTTCCACTATCATAGCCTTTGTCTGATCTCTCACCACCTCTTATTTGAGCAATTTAATATATATTAACCAATTTCCTTATTTTTATTCTTGCTTTTATTATATTGCCAATTTTCCTCTTTCTAATGGATCATTCCCATTATCACAAAAGCATATTTCAGTTTAACTTATTTAAAAACACACACACACACACACACAAAAAAAAACAGCTGTTGACCTCTTATCATCTTTCAATTACTACTTCATTTTTCTGCTGTGTTATCCCCAAGAAAATCCTCAGAGTAGTCTATACTGCCTATACTCATTATCATTTCTTTCTCTCTTCCCATTTTTTTGTTTTCTTGCTTGTTTGTTCTCACTTAGTTGGGCTTTTTCTTCAATCAGGAGCATTTGACCTAGTTGAGCAAACTCTCCCCGCCACCACCCCCTTTTGAAGTCTTTCTTCTGGAATACCACTGTTGCATCCCTCTGTACCTGCTGGGTGCTCCTTCTTAATCTGCATGACTGATTTCTCCACACCTTCCCGAGCTCAAAATATTGGAGTAACCCTGGGCTCATGCCTCAGAGCTCTTCTCTTTTCTATCTCTACATACCATTAACATGCCATTGACCACTAAGTTTATACCTCTTCCCTAATACCCATGTTTATTACCACCATTTTTAAGTAAATTAATTAAGGCAGGAACCTTTTCTATCTTCATAGTTAGCAATTAAAAGAGATTAATCAAAGAATTTATACCCATATACTAGTATACATAATCCATGGACACAGACAATAGTGTGGTGAAAGCCTGAGAGATATGGGAATGGGGAGAAGGGGTAAGGGGAGAAGGGAAATATCTGTTGTAATTTCAATAAAGATAAATTTTAATAAATAAATAAATAAGATTTCTTGACACAGCATTCAATGCTTATCTTTAAATTTTTTATTGATTAAGGTGTTACATATGTGTCCTTATTCCCCCCATTACCTTCACTATCCCCCCCACTAATGCCCTCAACCCCATGGTGTCTGTGTCCATTGGTTGGGTTTATATGCATTCATACAAGTCCTTTGTTTGATCTCTCCCCTTACCCCCACCCTCCCTACCTTCCCTCTGAGGTTTGATGGTCTGATCAATGCTTCTCTGTCTCTGGATCTGTTTTTGTTCTTCAGTTTATGTTGTCAAATAAAACACCAGTGTGAGGAAGTTTAAAAGGCAGATAAGAATCATTAGCTAATTTCAAGTAGTTGTTTCTTTTGACACAGTCAATGGCATAACAGACACAATTCAAGACATTGTTTGCCACGGTCAGCAGGTTGTTCCAGACCTAAGAATTGGAACATCCAAAGAAAGTGATGGATTACATATCATTCAGAAAATTTTCTGTGAAAATCTGTTCTCATTCTCAAACCATCAGTAAGATGTGAGTAGCAGAAAGCCCAGGGAGATATTTTTAAGAAAGAATATTAAATAAAATAATTTAATGCTGCCAATTCAGAGCAAAGCCAATCAATTAAGTGAATTTTAACGTTTGGACTGTCTTAAAAAATTAAGATTTGACTTTGGGTGATGGGCACACAGTACAATACACAGATCTTGTAACATAGAAATCCACATCTGAAATCTGAATTATTAATGATGGTAATAAATTTAATAATTAAATTTAATAATAAATTTAATAATTAAAAAAAAAAGAAAAGAAAAGTTGCCCAACTGATGTGGCTCAGTGGTTGAGCATCAACCTATGAACCAGGTCAGTTTGAGTTTCGGCAGGTTACATGCCTGGATTGTACGCTCGATCTCCAGTAGGGGGCGTACAGGAGGCAGCTGATCATTGATTCTAATCATTGATGTTTCTTTCTATTCCTCTCCCTCTCTGAAACAATAAAAATATGTTACAAAAGAAGAAGAAGAAGAAGAAGAAGAAGAAGAAGAAGAAGAAGAAGAAGAAGAAAGGAAGCCAAAAAAGGACAGACAAAACAAGGATCCAGTCTTTTTTTTTTTTTTAACACTAAGATAAATAAATAAATAAATGATTGATTTCCCAAAAATCCAGGCCACTTAATAATTTCTCAGACTACAATTCATTAAAAAACCAGTTACTCACAGAGACAGAATGAATCTCAGCATAATTAATGCTGCTGAACAAAAGTAGCCAGACACAAGAGTAGCTTACACTAAATGTTTCCATTTAAGTGAAGATCAAAAGGGGGCATGAGGGAATGATTGGGGAAATGGTTTTACAGGTGTATATTTTTCAAAATTCAAACTAAATACTTACAATCTTTACATTTTTTAATTGAATTAAATTTTATATTCATTAAACAAACAAAGGTTTCCTGCAATGAGTGTTCTGTGGAAGGCAGGGGAGTGAGACAGATAAATATAAACAATGTTTTTCCACAGTTTTTAATATGCTCCTGTGTGTGTATGTGTCTGTATGTGCCTGTGTGTGAATACTCATCCATGCATACATATATCTCCCTTCTTTAAAAAACAGAGAAAGGCCTTTCTTACAATTAAAAGGGCTATCTTTAGTATTATTTCTGAACAAGCAAATTATTCTCTTTCAGGCTTTGAATTATTTCTAGGTGGTATATTTCAAGGAGAAAAATTAAACTAGTTAAATGGTGTATGTATTTAATAATAAATTAAAATAGTACTAACCATTTCCGAGTTATCTGCCAAGATTTGCTTGACTACTCTGAGCTCAAGTCACCAATGTGAGTAATTCACGCCAGGCACGGGCACTGAAGGTTTGAATGAAAGTGCCTGGCTTTCAGGGAACACTTTCCCAGAATACACCATTCTCTAGTCTTATTTGTGTTCTCTCCTCACCCTGACACCCTAATGATTATCCCAGTGCAGCTTACCTGCCTTAGCAATCTGTACAAAGGCCATTTCTTCAGTTTCTCTCTTTTTAAAACAAAGGAAAACTTGCCAATGTTAACATATAGCAAAAGGAGAAAAACAGCCTGTTTGGTCCGCCCTCCTGGGTGCTGCCGCTACCTTGCAGTTTGTGACACACAGGCAGAGGGAGTTCTGACGACATGGAGGAGACAGCCTGAGAGCTAGCAGTTCATTCCCGTGGAAACCACGTGTCCCTCAGTGCAGGCAGCTCTTCCTACTTTGCTGTGTGATTTCTTTTGTGTGACTTCGAGAGGGGCTTGTGAATGATTTCTAAATGTGTGCCTCGCTGAGGCAAGCTGCCTGGGGAGAGAGTAACCCTGCCAAGCGAGGACAGAGGAAGCCAACAGGAACCTCGCAGTGCTGGAACTGGCTCGACCCTTACATGCAGGTTTTTAAATCGGCAAAACAGAAATCAAATTACTGTCATATTGTACTGGTGGAAGCTCAAGGGACTCTCTACCAGTGAATGATGATGAGAGATGCAGAACAGCGGTGTGTCTAATGTGTGGACTCTGAAGACAAATGTAAGTGCTCATATTCTCATTCTATATGTTATTGCTGTGTAATTTTCTTTTGGGCTTGAAATTATGCTTAGCTAAAATGTAATCATCTTACAATGAGAATTTCTAATGTGGAAAGTTGTTAATCTTTGCTTAAGACTTTTTTTTTTCTTTTATTAACTAAGCAACATAATATACGCTGAAATTTCTGACAGCAGCTTTGGCAATTCAGCCTAAGACTGACTGAAAACTATAATCCAAAGTACATTCAATTATTATGGGATTAACACTGGATGTTTTCTGAATGTAGAAGGCATGCAACCTGCTGTTTTGGCTTGCATGCTATTTTAACACTGCTGTGGCTAACGTAGTGTGATCAGCATAACCAACAGAATGAGAGAGAGATCAGAGAGATTCCTGGTAGTTACAAAACTTTTCTTTTTTGGCCAGGATCACATTTTTTCTCCCCGAATGCTCAAAACTCTGCAACCTCCATGTTTGAAGTTCATTCTGCCTTTTTGACCTTGCTTTGGAGGAAAAAAATGAAACCAAGCAGAGGACTCTACAAATATTATGAATGAATGGAATATACAGAAAGAGCCACTGCAGTTCTTTAACTACTACTGCAATCATGACAGGGGAAAAGCCAGCCAAGGAGCCCAGCATGTACACCAGCTTCAGTGACAGAGTGTGAGGACACAAAAATGGATGGTGAGCAGAGCCTATAACTTGTTAATATTTCTACACTTCATCTACTGCAAGTTCCAGCTTAGAAATGGATATGCTTTGTAAAGGAAACACTTCTTTGAGCTCAAGTACAAACTCCTTAATGCACCGAAATGAAGGCACAAGACTCTACAATAATAACATTAACTCTGGAGAAGCTAACACTTCAGATGCATTTAATTGGACAGTGCACTCGGAAAATCGAACCAACCTTTCCTGTGAGGATTGTCTCTCGCCACCATGCTTCTCTTTACTTCATCTCCAGGAAAAGAACTGGTCTGCTTTGTTGACAGCTATAGTGATTATTCTAACTATTGCTGGAAACATACTCGTCATCATGGCAGTGTCCCTAGAGAAAAAGCTGCAGAATGCCACCAACTACTTCCTGATGTCACTTGCCATAGCTGATATGCTGCTGGGTTTCCTTGTCATGCCCGTGTCCATGCTAACCATCCTCTATGGTGAGTGGTGTTGGTTTCCCACTTGTACTCACACTAGTAATAAAGAGCATGTGCATGTCATTAGCAGATTAGCCGGGTCTCAAGGGACAAAATAAACAGGAGGCTTTGTTAGTAAACCAGGGCCCTCTGTTACACTAGTTACTTAAACTTACTCTTAAATGGGGTTTTCCTATTTTTAAAAATCTACTATCTGTGATTCTTAAAGAGTTTTGTGCTTTGAAATTATTATAAATGCCCCAATGCAGTCATAAAGCAATAACTTATCTGCCATTCTGAATCCATTTGATTTTCACTCCTTTACATTCCCAAATATTCCAGCCTTTAAGAGAGAACAGTTCTATCTTTGTCATAGTTTTCAGCGCTTCTAATGGAGTGGTAATACCTTCCCAATTACCTGAGAACATTTGCAGTGGTGCAGTGGGATTTAATGTTAGAATATGCAGAGTCTCCATAAGAATAAATGAATTACTCCGATTTTCATTGTTCCCTGCCCAGGGAAGCTAATTTGGAAGGGTGCCTTTAAAAATGCATATGCATAAACTCCTCCATTCTGGTGTGGAGGAGGGTGGAAAACAAATGGAAAGAGGTTAATCTTGCTTTCTTCTCAACTGACTTAAAAAGAGTCAAACCTCTCAGCAAGTCAGCAAACACTGGGGTGGCTTTAGCTGGGAGTAGAATGTGGTGTTCTTTCCAAATTATAAGTAATACAGCCAGATTTTGAAGAAAGAAAGAGAGTTAAGACTGTTGACACAGGCACATCAGCAGTCATCCAGAGCTAGAAACAAGTTGAGTGCTGTCTTTAGGAGAGGATTTTCTGGCCAAGTCTTAGGGCTAAAATCTATCATTCCAGTCCTGAGGAGTGGGAAGGAGGGAGGTGAGCAAAGGAGAGCAAGCTCTGGTTTGCACATAATGGGTAATGCTCATTACAAAACAGCCTACTAGACCACGGATGTCACCACCAGATCATTTCATTAAATTCGCCTGTCATTTCTCAGATACACTGGAGAGGTCCTCGCCTCTTAAAACCCTCTCCTGCTCAAAGGCAAACTCCAGTGACTATCCACAGGGCCGACCAGTCCTGGAACTAAAACCGTTGCAGCGGCAGGGTGGGAATGACCCCAAGGAGGGGTGGAGATTGATGAGGGGAGAAAAGGCACCAGCCAGCCACCTTAGGAAGCTGCAACCTGCTGGGCGTCTCAGGCTCCGGGTTGCAAGTGCGCCCCCTAGCGGCAGCTGTTCTGCGTGTAGCCATTTCCCGGCGGAGTTGAGCTCCTCCCTGCACTGTCCCCTTGAACTCTGCTGGGGGAGGAAATGCCCCCTCCTTATCCCGGCTGCGGAAACCTGGCCGGAGGCTTGTGGCTGCCTCCTAGCAGAGAAAACTTCTTTAAGCGCCAACAGCAGTTCCGACCAGGCTGAGCACGCCTTCCCCCCAGGCACTGCTAAGGAAAAGGCTCTAGTTTTGTTGAAACTCTTTGCAAATAATCCGCGTGAAAGGCAGTAAGTTAGGCTTGTGTCCTGCAAACGTTACTTTTCTGAATACCTGTGGTGGCACTTTGGTTGAGAAAATATGTTTGAAAATGAAGAGTTTGTTCAGCTTTGTGGGTCTGGAATATTGGACTTTATATGTGGGCTTCATAATTTTCCTTCTCACATACACACAGACCTAACACCATTGCTTATACTGTTATCAAAATTAATTAGGTTTATACAACCATTAGGTCCCCCTCAAAAAATTTTTTTTAATGTAGACACTTTGCTTATGTCCATAAGTATATCCTATCTCTCTAATACAGCCGGCGACCTCCTTCGGGGGCCTCCCAGTGGAATCATCTGGAGAGCTTTAGAAGTGTTTGGGACCCACCCTCCTAGACATCAGGACTTCTCTAAAGTTCTCCACTAATTCTAATGTATGGCCAGGAATAAGAACCACCGCCCTAACCATTGGTTGGCAAAGTGGGGTCCCTGGACCAGCAGTATCAGCACCCCTAAAACAATTCTCAGGACAGAAAGCCATGATCTCCTTCACCATTGTCTTCATCCTCACCCCCATAAGCCCCAAATTTGAGTTTAACCCCTAAAGCATTATTAGGTAATTATGTTTCATTTTTAAAAGTAAAGACATATTCTCAGTTTGGATTTTTAGTCATTTATTCCTTCACGCCAATAGCATTTATGGAGAGACTTCTAAATGCCATCACGGGGTAAGACTGAGCAATTATAATAATGACAAAGGGATGGGCCTAACCACAGAAAACAGAAAACGTGTGAAAGACGTGTGAGTAAGTAAGGACAGTATACTGTGAGGTGCTTCATACAGGAGCCCAAAATATGTCATAACTTATGACCTAAGTAATTTAAAAGCAAAACAAAGCAAAAATATATATTTTGTTAGGCAGAACAGAGTGAAAGAAATGCTAAAGAGAAATCATATTATAGTGGACCACAGTTCTTATTAGGCTTTTTTGAAATACTGAAAATCTCTCATGTTGCCCTTTGCTGCCTCTTGTGCCTTTCCCCAGGACGGAGACTGTTGCAGTGGGAGAGAATCCGCATGCCAGAGGCAGCATAAGGCCGCTTACTGACACTAAGCTTCTGCATCCTAGGTTACCAGTGGCCTCTGCCTAGCAAGCTCTGTGCAATCTGGATTTACCTGGATGTGCTCTTCTCCACGGCCTCCATCATGCACCTCTGTGCCATCTCGCTGGACCGCTACGTCGCCATCCAGAACCCCATCCATCATAGCCGCTTCAATTCCAGAACTAAGGCATTTCTGAAAATAATTGCTGTTTGGACTATATCAGTAGGTAAGTGGGAATAATGTTTCAGTCTCATTTGAAATGACAGTTCATCATGACAGAACATCATGAATCTATTATTTTGTTTGTTGCAAGGTATGCTGCAACATAGCAATGATCAGATTTGCTAAGGGAAAGAAAAAAAAAAAACATTCACCACACTGGTTGACAGCATAACTTTGTATTGCTTTGCACAGGTAAGAATGTATACACCAATAGAGTCCAAATCAGGACTAGCCACCTTCCAAAACATCTCATGCTTTCAAAATCACTACTGTAACTCTTGAGTTTCCCAGAGACTTCAACATTTATAATCACCAGACTTGTGGTCACTATAAGAATACAGAGCTCCATACTGGAGAATTCACAACTTCGGGGGGCTAGGAACGGTGGCTGGTACTGAACTCAGAGGGAGAAGGTGAGAACAAAAGAAGGTGGCAGAACTTGCTCACAGGGCAGGCATTTTAGCCTGCCCAGCGTCTTTGCAACACCTTCCTCCTTTTATGATTCCAGAGGATTCAACCTGCTCCACTGAGTTTGATTACACACGTTCACCTATAACCAGCATTGATCTGTCACACACCTAACAATCTTGAAAGCTCAGGTAATGGAACCTAAAGTGGCAGCTCCCAGGCAGCTAAGCCAATTGCACATGTCACCTCAACAGGTTTAGTCAATAACCAAAAATTTCCCGGGATTTGTTTTGAAGTCATGAAGCTTTGCAGGCAGAAATGCCGTACATGCTATGGCCACCTGGGGGTCAGTTTCTACTAACATGAGAGACATGGGATATGGTGGCAGGCTTGACATCAGGGACTAGCATGAGTCCTAGCTTTGTAATAAAAAATGCAAATGTATAATAAGCAAACCATATAATATCTTGTGTTTTGGTTTCTATTGTTTGCCTTTCTACTTAAGATGTAATTTGCAGAGTAGGAGCTCCATTGTCTAGGTGAGAAAATTGAGGTGCAAAAAAATGAAATGACTTAGGCAAGGCCCACCTTAACAGGGCAAAGTTTTTGTTTGATTATGATGAGAATATTCACAAATTACATTGGTATGATTTTTAAAATTTGAAAAGTCTTTTCTCTTTTCCATTTTAAACTTCACATTATGGTCTGAAGGAGACAAAACAAAAGATCTTGCTGTACATTTTTGATAGATTAAGGAAGCTAAGTAGAGAGTGGTTTTGTGGCTTGCAAGGAGCAGTGGGGCTAAACTTCCAACACCAAGCCCTGCTCTTACTGATGAATGTATCTCCTTACTGAGAAACTAGTTCTGGCTCCCAGAAACTTTTTGTGCTTTCTGGGCCTGTGCAATTTTGGATTCATTATGTTAGGAGTGGTTCTCAATCCCAGCTGTGCATAAGAACCCCTGGGGATCATAATGGGTCCATTGTAGAACCTGGGAGTTCTAAGGTACAGCTGAGGACCACTGAGACAGACCATCAAGGAGGAAGTTGCACTTAGTTTCAGAATTCCCAGTTATTTTTATAGACTAGAGGTCTGGTGCAAGACAGTCGTGCACTAGGGGGAAAGGGAGTGTGCCCTCTCGCAGTCTGGGAGCCCTTGAGGCTTAGGCCATCAGTCGGACATCCTTAGTGCTGCCACAGAGGCGGGAAAGGCTCCTGCCATTGCTGCTGTGCTTGTTGTGCTCACTAACCATGAGCCGGTCTTGGGGCTTCTGACTGAGTGGTGTTCTCTCTATGGGAGTACACTGACCACCGGGGGCAGCTTCTGCATTAAGTGTCTGCCCTCTGGTGGTCAGTGTTCATCATAGCAACCGATCGTTCCTATATAATAAAAGGCTAATATACAAATAGACAGTTCCAGCATTCAGACTATTTGCACATTAGCTTTTTATTCCAGTTCTCTGGAATAATTCTTCATGTTTTCATCTATTTTCTTAAATATTAATCACTGTTATTTGGATATCTGATTAACCTGAGGATTACTATTCTCATGGGTCATTTTCCTCTTGGTTCTGTCAGTTAGCATGCCTGGTAATTTTTTTTAATTGAGTATTGAACACTTTGTAAAAAAAAAAAAAAAATGTGGATACTCTGTTGATATTTTCTTTCTTGAAAGAGTAGTCCTTTAGCTTTAGCAGGTGGTTAGATTGAGTACCCTCAATTCAGTCAGGGACTGAGTTTCTTTTAGGCTGGGTTTTATAAACACTGGTCTGTTTGTAGTTTACCCTTATACCCAGGGTATATTCTCTTCATAACCTCAAATGGAAACCTCAACGTTCTCCATTTTGACGAGCTCTGAACTACAATACAATTTTGTCTCTTCAACATTGTAAGTTGCTACTAAATCTTGAGCTACCATCCTCTCAGTTTGTTCCTGTAACAAAGTAGTAAATACCTTGAAGGAAAGGCAGCACACACTATTACTATATTATTTCACTCTTCCCTTCATTCCAGAATCTTTACTCCTAAGATCCAAACTGTTTTGTTAGCCTAATCCCCTCAAACAGTTTTGGGCCCTGAATTTTGCTTTATTTGATACTAATATATCTCTTCCTTAGGCTTTGAATCTCTACAATGTATCTTTTCTCATCTCATCTTTACTATCTTTGTTCCTTTGTTTTAATGTATATTTTCACAGTTAACTTACAGATGGATATTTTTAAACAAAATCTGGCAATGACTGCCTTTTGATAATGAAACTCAGCCTATTTACATTACTATAACAATGGGCATAATGTTTTATTCCTACATCTTATTTTCTATTTAACATATATTTCTCTTTTTAATACTTTATCCATTTGCTCCCATTTCAGGTTTGCTGACTTGCACAATGCCTTCTTCATTGCCTTCACCCCATCCCAGTTAGTTTGAATTTCTACTTGGCTCTTTCTTTTCTATCCCAAAAAGTCCTCATTATACATATTTCTATTAATATATCTAAGGTAAATAATAATCCCACTAAATTATTTTATTCCTTATTCATCATGAGTCCCAATTCATAGGTTTTAGACAGTTTACATAATTTTAAAGTAATCTAGTGTTGCTAAAGAGAACAGATTGACAGCTCTCAGAGGGGAAGGGTGTTAGAAGCCTGGGTGAAAAGTGAAGGGATTTAAGAAGAAAAAAAAAAAACTTGCCCGGTTTGGCTCAGCAGTTAGAGCATCAGCCCATGGACTGAAGTGTTGCAGTTTCAATTCCAGACAAGGGCATGTACTTAGGCTGCAGGCTCCATCCTGGCCACAGTCTGGACACATGTTAGAGGCAAACAATTGATGTGTCTCTCTCACATCAATGTTTCTTTCTGTGTGTCTCTCACCCTCCCTTCCACTCTCTCTAAAAATCAATCCTCAAATGAAGATTAGAAAACAAAACAAAAAAAACTCAAAGGGGGTGGGAAAAGTATAAGAAGGTAAAGAATGGAAAATGCTGAAGCTACTTGACTTGGGGTGGCAAGTACAAAATATAATGTACAGATGATGTATTATGAAGAATTATACACTTGAATTATACACCTATACAATTTTATTAACCAACTAGAGGCCCGGTGCACAAATTCATGCACCAGTGAGGTCTCTTGACCTGGCTTGCAGGATCAGGCCAAAACTGGCTCTCTGAGGGGTCCTGGATTGTGAGAGGGGCAGGCCAGGCTGAGGAACTCCACTGGTGCATGATTGGAGTGGGGGAGCATACTGGAGGTTGGTCATTCAGGGAGGGACCATGTGAGGGCTCCTGGGCATCCCAGGCCCATCTCACTCAGTCCTGATCAGCCAGACCCCAACAGCAAGCTAACCTGCTGATCAGATTGTCTGTCCCCTGGTGATCAGTGCACATCATAGCAAGCCGTTGAGGAGCCTTAGCATATCATTAGAATATTATGCTTTGATTGGTTGAATGAACAACTGAACACTTAGTTTTTGTTATATAGGATGTCACTTCAATAAATTCAATAAAATTTTTAAAAATATAGGAAAAGAGAACCAAGATGGAAGCATAGGTAAACAAGGTAATCAGTCCCTCCCATAACCACATCAAAATTATCATTAAAATACATAACCATCTGAATGGAAGTCCTACAACTAGAGAAGTAAAGAAGAAAGCACCTCAAGACTGGTATGAGGCACAGAATGGGCTGGTCCAGGCACCCACCTGTAAAGGCCTCCCATGAGGAGCAAAGGGTCCCAGCCCCACACCAGATCACTCAGCATAGGATGGCAGTACTGGGAGGAGAAGTCCCCATAACTTCAGGCTGCAAAAACCAGTGGCAATTGTGGCTGAGTGACATAGGCTGCTGGAGTCCCAGCAGTTCCTCATAAAGGGCAGGGGCATGAACTTACTTGGACTACCTCCCTCTGAGCTAAATCACTGGGGCAGTAGCTTTGGGTAATCTAGGGGCATGTGGGAAGGAACTGGATTGTCTGGCACCAGGGCAAGGTTTGGGAGTGGCTTTCTCCCAGACAGAGGTGCTCACACGGGTCATTGTTCCTGCTCTAGGACCTCCCCCTTCACAGAGCTAACTGGCAGACATATGAGTTTCCAACAGCCTGGCTCACACTGTTCACTTCACGCTGGTGATTTCCTGAGACCCTGCCCCATTCAATTTGTAGCCCTATCCAAGCCGTTTTCAGCAGCTTTTCCATTTGAATGGGCTATCCTGCCTCAGATTTCAAGCCTTCCTAAAATCTCTCAAACAAACATCAGCTGGCATCAGCATGCCCATACGTATCAATAAGAGACCAAAGGACTGGCACTCACATCACATGCTTTGTTTCATAGCTGGGCACTTCCAACCCCAACACAAGTAGCAGCGATCTGCAAATTGCTCTGTAGCTGCTGTTGGGCGGCTCCAGTTATTGGGTGACTTTGCATCTCTCAGCAGGGGCGGGGGGCGGGGGGGGCGGCGTGGCGCAGGGGCACCAGAGCCAGTACACCCATTGGATAGCTTTTAGATTACAACTCTACATGTCCATAAGTGACACACTCAAGTGTTAGACAGTGAGCACCAAAACCCCACTGAAGCAAATCCTGCTCTATAAAGATG